TTGCTATTGCTATTGCTATTGACTGCAGCTCTGCAGTTCGGCTGTCCACATCTCACCGGCTCAAGGTTGACTCAGCCTTCGAGCCGTCCGAGGTGGGTAAAATGAGGACCCAGACTTTGGGGGCAATATGCTGACTCTGTAAACCGCTTAGAGAGGGCTGAAAGCCCTATGAAGCGGTATATAAATCTAATTGCTATTGCTATTGCTATTTTGCTAATGTTTAGCTATTGCAACACTTACTGGATGGGTGTATAAAATACACCAAAGAATTGGTGAATAAGTCTTGGGAATAAACAACTTCTAATTTCAATTTTGTTAAAAATAAAGGGCAAAATGGTAATGACCATGCAATGAACCAAACAATAATACTTCACTTTTTTCTAGTTTGCTTTTATAAAACTGAATATAATATGCAGTACAAGTGCAGTGCAAGTGCATAAAATAGTCTTCCAGACAAGATTCCCATGATTGCCTAAGAACTGAGATCCTTTCAGCTTTACGGCCAGTTATTTCACTTGATTATTGTGTTTTATGGGGATTCACTCAGTATTACTGCATATATCCTGCTATGTTTTACTACTGAAAACCACAGAACATATTGTTCGTTAATAACTTATGAGAACATCTATTGAAAATTAAAATTCCTAAAGTTAACTAAAGTGCTGGAGAAATTTTTTACTTCTGTATTGAATATCAAATTGCTTCACAGAGATATATCAAAGAATCAAAGAACAATGAACATTCTTGATAAAGAATTAGAGGTTGAGCCTGGATTCTAGCTTAAAGTGGAGGTTAATTTTTTATTTATTATTCTGTAAACCAGTATTGTAATTTGTAAACCATAGTTTATAATTCTGTTTTTTGTGAATCATAGAACCACATTGTGATTTTTTGAAATCATGGCTAGGCAAGCCATGGCTTTATGTGAGGTGTGCGACCAGTCTGCATAAATCAGAATTGTTTGTGTTCATTGCACAATAATTAAAGTTTACTAACCTCTCTTTTCTCTTTCTTTCCTTGGGCATAATGATGGGGCCTTTTCTTGCCAGTCTTTCTTTGCATCTGCCCTGTGCATTCGGTGTGGGCTTGTGTCCGTTCCTGTCCTGCCAGTTGTATCTGCACTGAAGAGAAGAGTTGTGCCATTCTTTGTGACCGAGCTGGCCTTGCACAGATCCCTAATGAGTTTCCTTGTGAAGCATATTCTATTAACTTGGATAAAAATAGCATCAAATTCCTTGCTGAGAGAGCATTTGGTACTCTCCCGTCCCTAAAATCTCTCTCTATAAGCCATAACAACATATCATTTATTACTCCTGGTGCTTTCAAAGGGCTTGCTAGCTTAACTGAGTTAAAAATGGCCCACAATGAATACATTCGTTATCTGCATACCAGGACTTTCATTTCTCTCCAGAGGCTAATCCGATTGGATTTAGCAGACTGCAATCTTTTCAACATTCCAGACAGGATTTTTATAGAGCTTCCAGCTCTCCAAGAACTCTTTTTTTTTCAGAATAATTTCCGAAGGATCCCAGGAGCTATAAGAGGGATGGAGAATTTGACTCATGTTTATTTGGAGAAAAACAAGATAGAAGCTGTAGCATATAATTCACTTCTGGGCCTGATCCAGATGAAATATCTCAATCTGCAAGTCAACAGAATAAATGTCATTCACAATAGAGCTTTTCAGGATTGCCAGAAATTGGAGTACCTTTATTTAAATGACAATTTAATCAGTGACCTCCCTAAGAATTCCTTTGATGGTCTGCGGCATCTAAAGATGCTTAATCTTGGTGGCAACTTTCTCAAGATTGTCTCTAATACTTGGTTCCAGGATCAATCTGAACTGGAAGTTTTGTATTTGGACAGAAACTGGATCAGTTATATTGAGGAAGGTGCTTTTGAAAACCTCACAAGCTTGGTATATTTGCACTTGAACAGTAACAATCTAACTACGTTGCCTTTCTTAGTCTTTCAACCAGTCTACCTCCTAGGAAGACTCTACCTTTTCCGGAACCCCTGGGAGTGCGATTGCAAGATTCAGTGGCTAAAAGAGTGGATGAAGAATTATGGACTTGTGAGAGATATTCCTTGTGCTTCCCCATCTTCAGTAGTTGGCCTTGACCTAATTGATGTTATTTTTGAGAAGACAGATGAAGGTTTATGTCTTAACCCAGAAGAATTAAACACCTCTTCTTCTACGCCTCTTCCCATGCAAGAATTACAGTCGACTACAGAGAATAAATTCCACAGTCTTATCTCAAAATTTCTACTCCAGAAGGGACTTTCAGAGGAAGTGATTAACACTACAGAAGGTTTCAGCAACACTACTCTGTTAGATGAATTGATTAATGAAGCATCTTTAGGACTAAGAGAATGGCATATAAAACAAATATATTTTAATATTTGGGTATTCTTTATAGCTCAAGCATTATGGACCATATAACCCAAAATACTTTAAAATTAATTTGGCTGTTTATCTACTCAAACATGAATCAAAAGAAGAAGATTGTGATATTAATACTACAGAACTAAATATAAAAATATCTTCTGGGCCCATATTTTAAAATAGATTCATATACATAGTTAAGAAATTAAAATGAGAGAAAATTGAAAGGTAATAAACCCAGTTGTCTTTATTTACTAAGGAAGTTCTGCAAAAAATAAGGTGACCAGATTTTCAGATTGGTAAAGAGGGACACCTTTGACCGGGGGGGAGGGCTTGATTAAAAATTTTATACGGAGCAACAAA